CCAAAAAACTATAATAATATTATAACACTTCTTAACACAGTATGTTACCACACAGCTATCAGTATGGAAATCAACACATCGAACTGACATGACTGAAAAAGTCAAAAGCATGTTTTAGAAATAAAAGTCAAAAACCTGTGACTACATTAGTGACAGTAGATCGCCTATAGTAGTCTATACTATTTCCCCTGCATTTACACTAAACATCTGATAGAAAACTAGCTATTTTATTAAATATAGAATGATCTCCAGGTACACACGGTCTCCTATGATACATACTAGTCAGTTATGTCCCTATGAAGAACTGTGTTAAAATGACTGCAGATATATCCTATGGATGATATTTTACAATTGATTAACAGTGGATATGTCACCATCATCATCACCACCATCATCATCATCATCATCACCAAGTAGTGTATGGTTATAGTGGGAATACAGTAGTTTCACTGGTATGCCACCTGTGTAGTGAATCTAAAGTCAAAATATTATTCTCTTTCTCTAAAATATCTCACACACGTGAATTGAAAAGGTGACCTCAAACATGGGGGTGGCATTTCATATCCTCATTGTAAAGATATAATTGGGTGCAAGGTGCAGATAATGATTGACAGTATTGATTAATGGTCATATTGTACAGTCAGAGGCCTTGATTCCCATACCCTCCCTCCCTCCCTCTTCTTTTAGAAAGCACCCAGGGAACACGGCTAGAGGGCATCTATGCATGATATGCTGTACACTGAATCAGAGACATACAGTACATAGCTTACAGCAGGGGTAGGAAACCCTGGTCCTGGAGTGCTGCAGGCACTTCATGTTTTTAATTTAACCAACCTAGACGACCAGGTGTGTTGAATTTAGGCAATTACTGAACTGATCATTTATCTCAGTTAGTCAGGTGTGGTGCCTAGTTGGAACACAATCCTGCAGTACCTGCAGCACTCCAGGAACAGGGTTGCCCACAGCATTCCATTCTTTAAACATGGGGCTTATTGAGGCATAATGTTTAGAATGTAGAAGACAGAAATAGAAATATAGAATATATCAAATTAGCTGTTCTACCTGATAAAGAATTCAATTGTTTCCATTCTAAATCTCATTTCTACAGTATCTGCAAGGTTTGGAACTTTAAGTCCGTCATATACAGTGGGGAGAACAAGTATTTGATACACTGCCGATTTTGCAGGTTTTCCTACTTACAAAGCATGTAGAGGTCTGTTATTTTTATCATAGGTACACTTCAACTGTGAGAGACAGAATCTAAAACAAAAATCCAGAAAATCACATTGTATGATTTTTAAGTAATTAATTTGCATTTTATTGCATGACATAAGTATTTGATCACCTACCAACCAGTAAGAATTCCGTCTCTCACAGACCTGTTAGTTTTTCTTTAAGAAGCCCTCCTGTTCACCACTCATTACCTGTATTAACTGCACCTGTTTGAACTCGTTACTTGTATAAAACACACCTGTCCACACACTCAATCAAACAGACTCCAACCTCTCCACAATGGCCAAGACCAGAGAGCTGTGTAAGGACATCAGGGATAAAATTGTAGACCTGCACAAGGCTGGGACAATAGGCAAGCAGCTTGGTGAGAAGGTAACAACTGTTGGCGCAATTATTAGAAAATGGAAGAAGTTCAAGATGACGGTCAATTACCCTCGGTCTGGGGCTCCATGCAAGATCTCACCTCGTGGGGCATCAATGATCATGAGGAAGGTGAGGGATCAGCCCAGAACTACACGGCAGGACCTGGTCAATGACCTGAAGAGAGCTGGGACCACAGTCTAAAAAAAAAACATTAGTAACACACTACGCCGTCATGGATTAAAATCCTGCAGCGCACGCAAGGTCCCCCTGCTCAAGCCAGCGCATGTTCAGGCCCGTCTGAAGTTTGCCAATGACCATCTGGATGATCCAGAGGAGGAATGGGAGAAGGTCATGTGGTCTGATGAGCTTTTTGGTCTAAACTCCACTCGCCGTGTTTGGAGGAAGAAGAAGGATGAGTACAACCCCAAGAACACCATCCCAACCGTGAAGCATGGAGGTGGAAACATCATTCTTTGGGGATGCTTTTTTGCAAAGGGGACAGGACGACTGCACCGTATTGAGGGGAGGATGGATGGGGCCATGTATCGCGAGATCTTAGCCAACAACCTCCTTCCCTCAGTAAGAGCATTGAAGATGGGTTGTGGCTGAGTCTTCCAGCATGACAACGACCCGAAACACACAGCCAGGGCAACTAATGAGTGGCTCCGTAAGAAGCATCTCAAGGTCCTGGAGTGGCCTAGCCAGTCTCCAGACCTGAACCCAATAGAAAATATTTGGAGGCAGCGACAGCCCCGAAACCTGAAGGATCTGGAGAAGGTATGTATGGAGGAGTGGGCCAAAATCCCTGCTGCAGTGTGTGCAAACCTGGTCAAGACCTACAGGAAACGTATGATCTCTGTAACTGCAAACAAAGGTTTCTGTACCAAATATTAAGTTCTGCTTTTCTGATGTATCAAATACTTATGTCATGCAATAAAATGCAAATGTATTACTTAAAAATCATACAATGTGATTTTCTGGATTTTTGTTTTAGATTCCGTCTCTCACAGTTGAAGTGTACCTATGATAAAAATGACAGACCCCTACATGCTTTGTAAGTAGGAAACCCTGCAAAATCGGCAGTGTATCAAATACTTGTTCTCCCCACTGTAAGTTCAGCAAAGTGCTAGTAACTATGACAACTACATGGCTAATATGAACCACCCTTTCTATCAAGTTAAAAGGCTGTACATTGCTGGTTTACATTCTGATATGGCGCATTGTTGATGCTATGGAATGCTCCTTTTGAGTATTTTGAGTAAATACTCACTGCTATAAGTAAGCTTAATGGGTACAACCCAAATCCTAACAGTAGCTTAATAAATAAAATACATTCAAATTAGCATCAGTAACACAGTAGTTAAGTGAAATAAATCATCATGAAAAAACAACCCTGGAATATTCAAAACACACACACACACATTATTCTTGAATGTTTATGATTAGTATTATTCACTTATTTATTTTATCTTTCTTATTATTTTTAAAATACTCTTATTGTTTGTGTTGCTTTTCTTGTCCATTAGTGATCTATATTTTGTCATGTTCTATGTTTTGTGTGGACCCCAGGAAGAATAGCTGCTGATTCTTCAATAGCTAATGGGGATCTGAATAAAAATAATCTATCAATTCATGAACAGCATAAAAGCTTGAAATGACCATCTCTAATGAAACCCTATGTCCTATACAGGAGAATTTTCATAACTCCCCAGACATACTACTTTATCCAATCACGTAGCAGCAGGAAATACAGTACAGGTGGTTACCTTATAGCTCCTCCTAAAAACTGGCTCCAGACCTCCCCTCACTAAAACATATCTTATAGTTTTTTGATTACAGTAAACTTGTATGATAAAGTACGTACAGTACATTCCAGATGGCTGATATGAAATCAACATGGATGTCTATGATGGATTCTGTACTGGATGGACACAAGTCCATTCACTTAAAGAGAGTCAATTCAAACTAGACAACAAACTATAGAACCAAGTCTATGGTATCTGAGGCATAGAATACTTAACTTCCCTTTACGTAGAGATTTCTTTCTCTATGCGAGGTGATTAGTAACACAGTTTACGTTTTTATCCTTAGATTAGATTGTCTCTAAACCCAAAATACACAATCATAAGAGGCACCAGACTCAAAGTAAAACAAACAAGTAAACAAACATCTCTATATAAATATAAATCCTACAGTCATCTGATACGTCTGGAGTGTGAAAGCACTGATCGGGCAAACGAATATAAAATGGTGCTCGGAGTAGAAGTTGCCTGTAGATACAGATTTAGCATCAGCTTACCCTGACCCAATCCTAATATACTTAACGATAACAGGGACAACAGAAAACTGACCCCAGATCTGGGGGCAACTTTGTCCCACTCCATAAAAGAGCGATAGAAGAGAGAAGGCACAGAAACACTGCCCCACACAATAGGGCGGACCAACAGCAGCAGTTTCTGGGAGCGGATAGGCTGAAGCCAGAAGTCAACTAGGAGATGATTGGCTGAGAGCAGCAGTGGGTTGGCAGCAGATTGGTTGCTTGCAAGATCTGGCATCCCATTGGCTGAAAAAAGGAACTCAGGAGTTTCAATTGAGTTTGATTAAATGCTGACTTGTCACAATCTCTCCAGACTTAATGTTCACCACACATGACGTTACCTGTCCACCAGACCAGTGGTTCTAAAACCTCTCCACCCTTCCTCTCTCAGAAGACTACGACACCCTTCTCATACCAGTTGTCTGGTTCAGTGGTTCTCAAACCTCTCCTCAGGGACCCCCATGTATTTGAACTATTCCAGAGCTAGCTCACCTGATCCAGTAGCTCATCAAGCCCTTGACTACTTCAATCAGGTGAGCTAGCTCTGGGCTACAACAAAACGGTGAAACGTCTGGGGATCCCCGAGGAGAGGTTTGAGAACCTATGAAACCAGACAACTGGTATCAGAAGGGTGTTGTAGTCTTCTGAGAGAGGAAGGGTGGATAGTTTGTTTGAATACGGTGACTGTCGCTGGAGGTGAGTCACATTCAGAAGTGTTTTGAGTTGGCTGTAGCCTAGGCCCTATGCTTCACAATATCTACAGTTTCACGGACATAGCTAGCTTTACTGGTCCCCTCATAGCTAGCTTTACTGGTCCCCTCATAGCGGACGATAATGATAAACCAGGAACAGGTGTGCATCTCAATAGTCTAAAATGGCTTCCTCTCATCATCTCCTTTCCTTCATCTGCACTGATGTGGTAGAACTGGACAGGACAGTAACAGCCTCCACATTGCTAACACCCATCCTGTGTTTTCAAATGCATGAGAGAAGAAGAGGAGAGGGAGCGGCTTTAGACTATTGAGACGCACCCCATATCTCCAGCCCAGCCTTCTTCCTACTTTACCACACCTGCCCTCTCATCTACAGTCTGATGCACTGTCTTTGACTGGGCGTGGTCTACCTTGTCAGCTTTAGGTTTAGCCGTAGTCACAGCTGTAACCACACCCACTTTAACGTATTGCCCCTCCCCCTTTAAGTCATGTTTGGCCGCAAAGGGTATGTCTCCCCTCCTCTTTGATCCATGTTTGCTCCATGGCACAAGGGGAGGTAATTCATCCCCCTTCACCTCACGTTTGGGCATAGGGGGCGTGGCTTTCCTCTGGGGCAGCCGAGGGTCGTCCCCGATGTCGACCGTCAGGTTGGTGTAGAGAGGCTGCAGCTCTTTGGATAACAGCTCGTAGGTCAGAGAGTTCAGACCATCAGAATGCCAGTTGAGCCTAGTCCGTTTCAGAAGGTCAAACCTGTGGAGGTACATGGGGAGGAGAGAGAGATGAGTCAATAAGGCGTGTGTGTGCGTTTGTGTGTGTCCGTGTTTGTGTGCGTGTGTGTGTGCACCTGCGTGGATTCTGCTCGTTGCCCCTGTCTCCTTTATGCTTGATCATCTTGTAATGTCCGATGGCCACTGGAGGGCGCACTATCTTCATCCCAGACAGACGCACTCTGAGACAGACAGCAACACACAGGAAGAGGGAATGTGTTGATTGGAGTGAAATAACTGATAGACAGCACAGGATTAGATGAGGTAGCGTCTCAAGTTTTTCCTGACCCAATTGATCTCACTAGGAAAAACTCTGGGGCCTACTAATGAGGTGTGTAATCCACTATCATACTGGTCCATTGGTCCTCTATGGGACAGTATAGGTTTTCACACAACCACCTGAACTAAACAAACCAACTAATGGGGAGGAAATCTACCAAGCAAACTGCCCAACAAGCTGACATGAATACTTACTGAGCTCCAAACATGAACTGTGGGGAGAGACACAGCAAAGCCATGGCAGTGAGAGTGGAGATGAACAAGGTGTTATGACAGAGGTAGAAATAAAACACATGTGAAGACAAATAGCTTATGAAGAGAGAGAGAGAGAGCGAGAGAGAGCGAGAGACACATCTTTCAAGGCATTCACTGGTATAGTCACACATGGCTGTCCCTTCCAGCCCCTCCCCCTACTCACCTGGCAGCGATGTCATCGTCCTCCCCACCCCAGCCCCAGTAGCTGTTGGGGAAGCCGTTCATCTTCATGTACTGCTCAGGTGTGACCGCAGACACCCCTCCGAAATACTGGGGGTACGGCAACCTGGGTGGGACAAATACCAGAAGATGCCAGAACCTCAGATGACACTTGACATACAGACTCTGATACACTGCATAAACACACACATACCTGTATCGGAACTTGTCCATGGCCACAGAGAGGTGTGTGGGGAACTGATTGTGACAAGTGTAGGTGTTATGGTCGTTTTCAGGCAGCAGATCTACGTCGTGTAGGAAGATACACCCCCAGTCCTCGTCTCTCAGCGCCTCACGGACCCCAACATTCAACAGCTTAGCCCGATTAAATGTAGAGTTACCCCACTGCAGAGGAAAATACAGGGATCAGAGAGCGAGAGAAAGAAAGAAAGAAAGAAAGAAAGAAAGAAAGAAAGAAAGAAAGAAAGAAAGAAAGAAAGAAAGAAAGAAAGAAAGAAAGAAAGAAAGAAAGAAAGAAAGAAAGAAAGAAAGAGAAAGAGAGAGAGAGAGAGAGAGATGAAGAGACCTGCTGGACTATGTAGATACTGTAGTGAATCTGTTGTCTCTGTAGGAAGGGGTGGAGGTGGTAGAGTAGGGCTCGGAGGTGAGTCTGGCGGTTACGGTACGGCACCACGATGGCCGTGTGGTGGCGCGGCTCGCAGTCCGGTGGGCTGTATCGGCCTCCCGGTAACACCAACGGGTTCCTCTCCCTGATCTCCTCTAGAGAGAGAGGCGAGGACAGACGCACAGACACAGGACCGACTAGAGAAGAAAGAAAGAGGTAGAGGAGGGGAGATGTATCGTATTATGTAAGAACCTTTATTATTCATTTACATTTACATTTTAGTCATTTAGCAGACGCTCTTATCCAGAGCGACTTACAGTTAGTGAGTGCATACATTTTCATACTGTACATAATTTCATATTCATACAGTACATAATCCCTTACAGCAGGTGGCGTGGTTCTCCCTCTCTCACGCTCGCTCGCACACACACACATATGCACACACATATTTACCCAGTAGTGGTGAGGGCACCTTGCAGTTCTTCAGCTGAGCCCCTGTCCCTGGGGGTCCGGTGCCTATGTGGGGGGCTGGTGGTGCCCCCAGGTGGCTGAGGTTGGTGTACACGTCGTGGGGGCGGGAGTAGTCAAACTCAGGCTGCTCAGAGTGGACCAGTACTGACACCAGCCCCCTGAAGCCCCCCAGGGAGAAGTAGACCACAAAGGCAAACTGGAAGCCCACCAACAGGGCCAGGGTACAGGGGGAGTCAAGAGAGCGACCACAACACGCCATGGCCATGATGGAGGGAGAGGGAGAGAGAGAGAGAGAGAGAGAGAGAGAGAGAGGGTGATGGAGCGAAAAAGAGAGAGGCAGAGAAAGGGAGATAAAAGGAGAGAGAAGACACAGAGAAAGAGAGAAGAAGACAGAGAAAGAGAGAAGAAGACAGAGAAAGAGAGAAGAAGACAGAGAAAGAGAGAAGAAGACACAGAGAAAGAGAGAAGAAGACAGAGAAAGAGAGAAGAAGACAGAGGAAGTGAAAGACAATTCGATCAGAAAGAGGCTGGGATGAGAGGGGGTCGTGGTAGAGGGATGAGAGAGGAAGGAGAGATGGAGGAGAGACAGAGGGAGGGTGGGGAGGCTGTAGGGGGCTCAGGGGGTTAGGAGGGGGGCATCTATGTGTATGAATGTTGCAGCACTATAGCTCCGTCAACACGGCCATCGCTTCAACATCTGACGAGTCACTGCAAAAGACAGGGAACAACACTCAACATTGTATACTGTTACGCAATAACAATGACATAGCAACTACAGAGTGTGTGTGTATATAATAATAATAATAATTTGGTAGGTGCTTACACTTGTCCTAATTCACACCTGTACAAATGTGTGAATTAGAAATGTGTTTTTTGCATATCCCAACTCTCCCTGAGACCCTCGCAGAGTGGTGTGTGTGTGTGTGTGTGTGTGTTTGTGTGTATGTACCTGTGTTCTGTTGTAGTCCAGACTGGATGATATCAGAATCTGGCCTCTGGCAGAGAGAGTCTGTTCTCCCTCTCTCCTTCTACCCTCATAGTTCCTTATGGAGAAGAGAAAACACCAGCTAGTAGCCTACAATGACTGCAGGACTGACTGACTGATTTCATATCTGAATAGGAAGCCTATAGACTCAAATGTTATTCCTAATTAGGCTACTGTGTTTGACTCCAACGGTTCAGTTGCTACATGAACAATGTATGAACTAACTGTAACAGCATTCCTAGCAACTAGGTTTTAGGCTATTACATTCTGGTCCTCTGCCTATTTCAGTTAGATCTTCTATATGAGACAAATATAAGATCCAATGATACCATAAACAATTACTTTAAAAACAGACTGAAATGTGTAAATTGATGCGTCCATATTAGGTGAAACATAATGTCCGTATCAAATCCATGTCCATTTTATCTCCAGAATAGGCCGTGCAAGCTGTCAACATGACTAATAATAATAATAATAATTATTATTATTATTATTATTATTATTATTATTATTATTGCATTAATAATAACAATAATAATAATACTTCGTGAAGTCTAGGCCTAATATTTTTCGTGATAATATTTTCACCTAACTAAACATCATTCTATATCTCTATATCATTGTATTCCTCCGTTAATTATAGGCCATTCTCACGTTAGATGCGTATGTCTGCAACATTAATTTCTAGGGCAAAACTCGTTTGTCACACCCGTCGTCTCACCTCCATGTTCCTGCGACGTTCCAAATCTAGCTCCCGGCTTCGAACTAGGACAACTGGGCCGCGCTGAAATAAACACATTCGATGGTCTGGGTGGATGGAGCTGTTTCTGAGTGAGTCCGTTTCCTAATCTCTCTTATCCAGATCGAAATCCTCTACTAGCCGTTTAGAAAGCGCTCTTTCGCATGGTCTAAACACTGAAGGCCGTCGCTCCAGCCGCGTCCATCAGATATCAACATATAAACTGCGGTTCATCTCTCATCCTGGTGCTCAGTAGGCTATAGCGCTGCCGCTGCCGCTACGAGAGGCAGGCATGTAGAGGGGCAAAGAGAACATGACGTATTTTGCCGGGCAAATTCAACATGTTTGAGTGCAGAAACCCTCCCCGTGTTCTCTCTCGCTCTCTCTCTCTCTCTCTCTCACACACACACACACACACACACACACACACACACACACACACACACACACACACACACACACACACACACACACACACACCTTTCCATTCACAAGTTAGTTGAGGTTGTATTGTATTGTGGAACACACATAAGTGATTGTATAGCAGTGGAGGCTCTTCAGAGGAGGAAGGGGAGGACCAAATTAAAATAGTGAAATATGAAAAAAGTTTTTTTTTTTTTTTAGATAAAACTATATTAAATATATTAACGTCACCAAATAACTGAAACGCACTGTTTTGCAATGGTCTACAATAGCCTCAACAGCACCCTCTAGGGTATCCCCATGGTGTAGCCGGAGGACAGCTATTTTCTGGCCTTCAATACAATACAAAACCTGGGAGGCTCATCCCATTGGGCAAAAACTGGTTGAATTAACGTTGTTTCCACTTCATTTTAACAACAACATTCAATGTGATGACGTAGAATCAACATGGAAAACTGATTGGATTTGTAAAAAGTCATCAACATAAGGGAATTTAAATATTTTATTCACCCAACTTTTAACATTTTGGTTAATTTCACGTTAGTTGACAACGCAACCAGATGTTGAACTGACGTATGTGCCCAGTGGGATGGTTCTCACCCCCTTCCATAGACTAACACAGTAAAAGTATGACGACTTCCGGAGGACATCCTCCAACCTATTAGAGCTGTTGCAGCATGAACTGACATGTTGTCCACCCAATCAAAGGATCACATAATGAATCTAGTACTGAAAGCATAAGCTACAGCTAGCTTGCACTGGAAAATGGAACGTTATGGTCATTAAAAAAAAATTGTCCTCTCTAATTTTAAATGGCACCGACCGCAGCTGGTGTAGCCATAAAGTGAACCATGGTTTCTTGCTTGTTGAATCATTTAAAGGGAAACTGTGTGATTCTGCTTCCCTTCATGTCCACTCATCAAACCTGTTGTAGTTGTCCTTTATTTCTCACACAGCTTCTTTCCACCACCATACCATCACACGTTCTCTCTGCTATAGTCAGGCTGAAAATATATTTATTCTCACATGCAGCGGCAGCTTGGCAGAGTACAGAAAAGGCATTAAGAACTAAGGCAACTCCATTTATCATTTACACAGACTAAACACCCAGAGGAAACCCAGCAGAGAAAGCATTACAGAGACACTGTGCAAAACAATCCACCTAACACTGCTGTTGTAGCCTCCCTGGCTGCAGCCTCTGCCAAGGGGTCTGGACTTGCATGGCACAGGTGGTGGTGTGTTGCAGGGTCGCTGGTTTAAGTCCCGCTCTGGCTGTTCACCCCTTATTGCACTGTCACAGTATAGAGTCAGGAGACTGGATGCTGAAGTGGGATGGACACAAAATGGTGCCTGGGAAGAATCGGACTCAGGGCAGTTTCCCCTGGGGAGTAGCCTGCCTGATGGACACTGATGTCTCCAGGTTGAGGTCAGTTCTACTTGTGATGGTAATTCAGCGGTATCAAATCAAAAGAATCAAAAATATATGTTTTTGTTTGGATTTGTGATGTATTGGAATTGACGTTGTAACTTACATTTTGGAATCTGATTTGAAATAGTGGAATTGACTCCAACCTTAATCCTTTTCTTTCCATAGGTTGGGTTTGCTTATGACATACAGTACAAATTGATTAAGGTGTCCAAGTTAGCCCCTGATAGGTCTGATGTTAGCAATAGAAGGAACGTTCAAATGTGACTCCCAAATAGACACACAACAAACATACGTAAAAAGAGCACCTCTTATATGATAATCTATATGCAGGCATTGCTTTTCTATGTTTTACCTGTAATGTATCTTCACCAAAATTATAATAATACAAAAACTGTAATAATAAAAAAAAAAGCTATCTTGTAAAAAAAAACTATATGGAAGGGAATGCTTCAAAATATTTCCATATCATATATCTCATCTTTGCAATTTGGTTGGGAAAAAAACCATCCTCAAAAAAAGATATTTCTGAGGACTGATTAATTTGACACAAACACAATAGTATTTATTTATTTATATTGACCCTGTTTTCAGGCTTTAATACCTGATTATTAAAAGCATGGTTTAAAAAAAGTCAGATATGGAAATGTGGATTGGGCAAGTACATCCTTCCCTTTCCCTTCCCCTCACACTGTTTGTTTCTCTCATATAATCAGGAATTAGAATACAGGATCTCTATGGTTAGAATCAGGAATTAGAATACAGGATCTCTATGGTTAGAATCAGGAATTAGAATACAGAATCTCTATGGTTAGAATCAGGAATTAGAATACAGGATCTCTATGGTTTCTCTTCTCTCATCTGTCCTCACCATCTCTCGTTCTCTCTCGTATACAGATTTAAATTTGGTCAGGGCAATTTGACTAATCTCCTTTCCCCAATTCTGGTCTCTGTCTCCTTCTCTCCTCAACCTCTTCCTCTCCCCACTCCTCTTCTCTCACTCCTCTTTGCTCCACTCCTCCTCTCTCTCTCCTTCCATCCTCTCTATCTCTCTCCCTGTGCTTATTTCTTGTAGTTGCCAAACTGGATGGCCAGACGGTCACTGACACAGCGGAAGGCAGCGGGTTGGACCTCCCAGTAGTTGACTGGGTTAGAGTAAAGGCTAATGCCGTTATAGAACGTCCTCTTCATCCCAAAGCCTCTTGGGCAGAAGTCATCCACTCCCACCTGGCTGATGCTGTTGGAATGGAGGTACACAACCTACAGGGTGGGAGGGGGACAGCACATGGTGTTGTAATAGAGCTGCTTCAAGGCCCTTCACCTGTCTGATGACTACCACTCTACCAGTACCACACACACACAGACACAGACACAGACACAGACACAGACACAGACACAGACACAGACACAGACACAGACACAGACACCCATACAGACACATGCAGACACAGACACACGTACACACACAGTCACTCACCTGTAGGTACTTCATGTCAGGCAGACCCTTGGGGATTGCTGTGAGTCTGTTGTTCTCCAGGTGCAACTCTCTCAGGCGGGGGACGTACGCTAGACTGCCATTCTCTATCATACGGATGTGGTTAAAACCCAGTCCCAACCTGGCAACCAGAGAGTCAGAGAGAGACAGAGCGTCATCATCCTTATATCTGTAACACCTACCAGTAGTTCTTGAAGTTACCACTGGGTGGCATGGTTGCCTAAGAAAGAGCCCGAATGGAGGGTAGACAACGTGTCCATACAGAAATATTTGATCACTGCTTGCCTCTTTTTTCAATCAAGCAGACTTTATTTCAGTCTCAAAGAGCTATTACATAGATTGAAGTGGGGTACTTAACCCTAAACATTAAGAACTGGAGGCTCTCAGTACTCAATTAATGCAGTTAACTCTGCCTACGCAAACATAGCAGCACACTGCCATGTGAATCCCATTGTATTTCTCTCTTTTACGCACCTGTACAAGTGTTTGTAGCGGCTCAGGTCCTCCAGCTCGATGGCCTGTATCTGGTTGTGGTCCAGATGGAGCTCATGGAGACTGTCTGGCAGGTCTGGAGGAGACAGAACACATGCCTCTTAACTAACCTTCTGGAGGAGACAGAACACCCACCTCTTAACTAACCTTCTGGAGGAGACAGAACACATGTCTCTTAACTAACCTTCTGGAGGAGACAGAACACCCGCCTCTTAACTAACCTTCTGGAGGAGACAGAACACACGCCTCTTAACTAACCCTCTGGAGGAGACAGAACACATGCCTCTTAACTAACCTTCTGGAGGAGACAGAACACACGCCTCTTAACTAACCTTCTGGAGGAGACAGAACACACGCCTCTTAACTAACCTTCTGGAGGAGACAGAACACACGCCTCTTAACTAACCTTCTGGAGGAGATAGAACACCCGCCTCTTAACTAACCTTCTGGAGGAGACAGAACACCCACCTCTTAACTAACTTTCTGGAGGAGACAGAACACATGCCTCTTAACTAACTTTCTGGAGGAGACAGAACACACGCCTCTTAACTAACTTTCTGGAGGAGACAGAACACCCACCTCTTAACTAACCTACTGCTACAACATCAAAACATCTCTACCAACTTCTGCTTACAATACGGTCCATCAGAATAATGTACACTGTACATAAGTGGTCTCCAACTCTGGTCTTTAAGAGCTACAGGCACTGTATTCAAGAAGTTATCATCACTTCTGAGTAAACCACTTGCTGTGTGGACCGCGTACCCTTGGGTACTCCAGTGAGTTGAGCCTCAGAGATGCGCAGGTAGCTCAGTTTCAGTCCCTTGAAGGCTCCTGGCTCAAACCCACTGTTCTGGATCGGGTTCCCTCCCAGCTCTACAAGAACATACATAAGACACATTAGAACACGGCTGTGGCGAATTTGATTGAATTCCAGCATATTGAATATGCTGAGGTAATACTGAAGCATTGAATGGCACCATAATCTTTAATGAACTCTGACCTATGCAGTTCATGCTGCCCAGTCCAGAGAAGGCCCCCTCATGGACCTTCTTTATGCGGTTCTCGTGGATCCTCAGCTCCACCAGAGAGGGGGGCAGATTCTTGGGGACGCCAGTCAGGAGGTTTCTGGAGAAGTACAGCTTCTGCATGTGTTTCAGAGGAACAAAGGCCTTGGGGTGGACCTTACTGATCTTATTATTCACCAGGGACAGGGCCTGAGGGATGGAAAGAGACAGAGAATGAGAGAGCGAGGGAGAGAGGGGTGTGAGTAAATAAGCAAGCTTTCTTTGCCCCCCTTCTCTCTCCTAAGTGCCCTAGTTATGTCCAGTCAGTGTCTTTCTCTCTCCCACCACCCCTCTCTCTTACTCCAGAGTGTGGCCAGCCTCTGCCTGGAGCTAAAGGGAATATTCTAGTTCACATCCTCTCCTCTCTGCTCCCGGAAAGCCTTCATTTATCCCTGTCGCCCACTCAGAACAGATGACCAAGCCCAATATTGAACACGGCCAGAGAGGAAACTCACATTAAATAAAACAGTTACCTCTCTATGGATGAAGACATTTTCACCCTGCCTGCCTGCACGTCTGCCTGCCTGCTGTGGTTTCCATCTGACACTTATTTCTGTTAAGTTACCTAAGGTGACTGACAAGGAATGTTGTCCTTCCCTGGTGGTTTGTTTAAGTGGTCAACCAAGCTGTCTCAGACAAAGAGCTTCTGTAGGAGTTGAGGGACTGAAATCTGTCCTCTTGAATTGTGCCAAAAAAAGGCCAGTTAGAATTAAATGCTCTTCCCCTCTCCCTCTCACTCTTAAATCTCTACACTCCCTCTCTTTCTCTCTTTCTCTCTCCTCTCTCTCTCTCTCTCTCTCTCTCTCTCTCTCTCTCTCTCTCTCTCCTCTCTCTCTCTCTCTCTCTCTTACGTAGAGGTTGCTGAGGCCTTTGAAGTCGTTCTCCTTCAGCTCAGTGATGCGGTTGTTCTGCAGGTCCAAGAGTTTGGTGTCAGCGGGAATGCCCTTAGGCACCTCAGTCAAACCTGCAAACACACACACAGACACACACACAGTGTCAGTGGGGATTCATACACATACGGAACAAAAACATACACACAGTTACACACACGCCCACACACCCAGATGGGGACACCAGATGTCATCCAGCTGGTTTAGATTTCACTAAGTCCCAAAGGACGTGATTCCAACAACATCAGCAAGATCACATCAAATAAATTAAGAAGACGGAGTAGGGCACAACCCTGACACACACACACACACACACACACACACACACACACACACACACACACACACACACCCACACACACACACACCACACACACACCACACACACACATGATAAAGAGACTATGAGAATATGAAAGTACAGTTAATATACTGCAGAGAAACACCTGCTAACAACCAGAGACCTGATTGGCTCCTCATGTTATGAAAAAAGGTATCTCTGTTCAACTCCAAACTTTAAACCAGAACATGATGTCATTGTCTATAATTGGCAAGAAGTGACAATATCAATGTCATAGAACAGTTTCCTAAATTGTGGGTAGGACCAACTGGTGGGTTGCAGCCAGTGACAGTTGTCAGAAACCCTGGTGTTTTTATAAAGGAGAATTGTATTACATTGATCTTTCATCCTACCTGGTACATTCTGGTCCCCACAAGGATTCTGATTAAACTTCTTATAAACGGGCGGCAGGTAGCTTAGTGGGTAAGAGCGTTGTGCCAGTAACCGAAAGGTCGCTGGTTCTAATCCCCGAGCCGACTAGGTGAAAAATCTGTCGATGTGCCCTTAAGCAAGGCACTTAACCCTAATTGCTCCTGTAAGTCGCTCTGGATAAGAGCGTCTGCTAAATGACTAAAATGTAAATGTAAATGTAATAAACATGATTGAACTCAGTGAACCATTTTAACGAGACAACATCATAAAGCAGTCTGTGTTACAATGTTTCAGTTCTCAGATGGTCGATTGGCCAGGTCAACAGAACCAAGCCGCTGCCATGGTTTCAACTCATCATGACTAGGGCTGTGGCGGTCATAACATTCTGTCAGCTGGTTATTGTCATGCTGGTCTCACCGTAATTGACCAGGCCTCCACGCATACAAGCCGCTGATGCGCGCATTTGGAACATCTACATTTGAACAAGTCTAATAAATCAATTGAATATACACCATCACAATACATCCATTATTTATTTTAGGCAGGTATAAAGAAACATTATGATATGAAGAAAATGTATTTCAGAAGAACAGAATATGAGTTGGCCTATTACTGTATGTTATCTGGCTATGCTCCATGCCATAGGCTGTAGGCTTGTTCATTTAGCAGACAATTATGCTTATAAGTCCCATGTCATTATTTTATATTATATGATTTTATAGTAAGAAGAACATAATCGAATTTAGCTGAATAAAATAGGAAGGATATTTTTCCCATTCTGGAGCGAGTGCGCATATGAAGACTATGTTGAGCATAAAAGTCATCATTTGAAAAAGGTCCTATAGGCTACGCTCGATTTAGAGTTATTTGGGAACTTTAGTTGTTAATTATACAAACCATAGAATGTCTTAGAAATCAAAACATATATGAGCAGCATGATGCGACTATAGGCTATTGACGATTTGAGAAAGTCGCAAAAAAAAAAAGCTTTCGCTCTGTTCTTTGCCTCAGGCTACACACACTGTTCTCTCATCAAGTCATCATATTATCACCCACCAGACCATTCTCAATGTAATATTGTCTATACTAATATGTTAAATTAGTTTCGATTTAGAATGGGAACAATATACATGTCATCCGCCTATGCACTCAAATAGCGAATGGAAGCCGCTTTCCCGCCTGTTCGTTTGGGTAGGCTACTCTGGTTATTTCATTCCAGGCATCAACCACTGTTTGAGGAGCATGCAGCCTCTCGCGGCGCGACAGGTGATATTCCGCCCAATCTCTGTATGCCATGGGCTCCCCAACCCTGTTCCTGCAGCTACCAAGTGCTTCATTTGGAAAACCAAGTGAAATCTGTTCGGGAACATGAAAAGTAACATGTTTTCACAACGAAACATATTTTATTAAATTGTTGACAGCTCCTCTCTCTGCGTGCTTGAGAAAGTAATGAAGAAGAAAAGGGAGGAGATGGAAATGCAGGGTGGTGAGATATTCTGTAACTAACGGTAGCCTAATGGTCACACTATTAATTATGAAATTATTTTAAAAATCCCTATTACTAGGCTATTCAAAATCAAATACAAATTCACTATTGTAGGCTTACTCTGTAAGCCGCCCTGCACAATCAATGAACCAACTGCATCGCCTAGGCCTATACATTCTCTCCCAGACTCATTAATAGAAACTTTGGAGTGTAGCAAAAGGTAACCAGTCCATCCAGTATGCATAATAATACAGTCCACACTCAAAGGCGATTATTATAATTCCTTTAATTTTGGAATATAGGCTAGACCAATTAAAGACATCTTAAATCCGTTTTTTAAATGTTTTTCTGCGGTGAATAATATGCGGTAGGATACTGTATGTATGTATTGTAAAACGAACGGCACAATCATTATTTTTATTCCGGGGGTTTTCAGGCTTGGGCTCATATATAGGCCTATGCATATGTATAAGCTCTATGGATGTTTTTAATTAATCATCTGTTTCTTTCTTCAAATTGATCAATCACAGTGAGGTGAGTTTAAAAGCACCATACAGTTGATGATAAGTGTTTGATGTGATTTTCTATTGCATTGATGTCAGAGTGGTTTGGAGGACAATAGAGCCCTGAGTACCAGGCCATTAGCAAGCTGGATACTACTAACACATGTCCTGAGTGCATAAAAGGAGATTACCATGACTCAACAGTCATGTCGAATTTTACTGCGGTCATGATTCATGACCACAAAACTCATCACGACCACAACCCAGTCCAGCAACCATCATACTGTTGCAACAACATCCCCTAGCATCACCTACTGTTCCCCTGTCACACCCTGACCACATCTGACACAAGACACACTACTACACTCTCCTGACGCCAACCAGGACACAACACAACCCAACATATTTTAACACTTTGAACACTACCAAGCTCTGTTCAACAGTACTGCCATTTGAATACAGCCAATGTCTCTACTTAACATAAAGGATGTTCTGTGTGTCTGAAGAAACCTATTCTGGTCGGTATTGGTTATAATAACACAACTCAAACCCCTCCCTTGACAGAACACGTACCCCCAAAACCCTTAACCAAGCACCGCCCCAAAACAAATTCTTTACCACTGTACCACACAACTCTCCAGTATGTTGTCACAACCATTGCCCAAATCAAAACCCCATAAAAGCCCATACCAACACCCCACACACCTCCAACAACCCAAGCCCAATGTAAATCCCAAACATGTTCAATCATTTGAAAATAAATTAGACAACCTAATATTACAGTTATCCTACCAACGGGACATTAAAAACTGTAAACATTTATGTTTCACCGAGTCGTGGCTGAACAATGACATGGATAACATACAGCTGGTGGGATATACGCTACATCGGCAGGATAGAACGACTGACTCCGGTAAGACAAGAGGTGGCGGTCTGTGTATATTTGTAAACAACAGCTGGTGCATAAAATCTAATACTAAGGAAGTCTCTAGGTTTTGCTCGCCTGAGGTAGAATATCTCATGATAAGCTTTAGACCACACTATTTACCAAGAGAGTTTTCATCTATATTTTTCGTAGCTGTCTATTTACCACCACAAACCGATGCAGGCATTAAGATTGCACTCAATGAGCTGTATAAGGCCATAAGTAAATAGGAAAACGCTCATCCAGAGGCAGCACTCCTAGTGGCCGGGGACTTTAATACAGGGAAACTTAAATCCGTTCTACCTCATTTCTACCAGCATGTTAAATGTGCAACTTGAGGGAAAGAAACTCTAGACCACCTTTACTCCACACACAGAGACGCGTACAAAGCTTTCCCTCGCCCTCCATTTGGCAAATCTGATCATAACTCTATCCTCCTGATTCCTGCTTATGAGCAAAAACTAAAGCAGGAAGCACCAGTGACTCGGTTAATAAGGAAGTGGTCAGATGACGCAGATGCTAAGCTACAGGACTGTTTTGCTAGCACAGACTGGAATATGTTCCGGGATTCTTCAGATAGCATTGAGGAGTACACCACATCAGTCACTGGCTTCATCAATAAGTGCATCGATGACGTCGTCCCCACAGTGACCATACGTACATACCCCAACCAGAGGCCATGGATTACAGGCAACATCCGCACTGAGCTAAAGGGTAGAGCTGCCGCCTTCAAGGAGCGGGACTCTAACCCGGACGCTTATAAGAAATCCCGCAATGCCCTCCGACGAGCCATCAAACAGGCAAAGAGTCAATACAGGACTAAGATTGAATCGTACTATACCGGCTCTGACGCTCGTCGGATGTGGCAGGGCTTGAAAATGATTACAGACTACAAAGGGAAACACAGCCGCGAGCTTCCCAGTGACACAAGCCTACCAGACAAGCTAAATCACTATGCGCGCTTCGAGGCAAGCAACACTGAAGCATGCATGAGAGCATCAGCTGTTCCGGATGACTATGTGATCAAGCTCTCTGTAGCCGATGTGAGTAAGACCTTTAAACAGGTCAACATTTACATGCGCTGACCAACTGGAAAGTGTCTTCACTGACATTTTCAACATGTCCCTGACTGAGTCTGTAATATCAACATGTTTCAAGCAGACCACCATAGTCCCTGTGCCCAAGAACACTAAGATAACCTGCCTAAATGACTACCGACCCGTAACACTCAATTCTGTAGCCATGAAGTGCTTTGAAAGGCTGGTCATGGCTCACATCAACACCATTATCCCATAAACCCTAGACCCACTCCAATTTGCATACCGCCCCAACAGATCCACAGATGATGCAATCTCTATTGCACTCCACACTGCCCTTTCCCACCTGGACAAGAGGAACACCTATGTGAGAATGCTATTAATTGACTACAGCTCAGCGTTCAACACCATAGTGCCCTCAAATCTCATCACTAAGCTAACGACCCTAGGACTAAACACCTCCCTCTGCAACTGGATCTTGGACTTCCTGACTACCCTTCCTGATGGTAAGGGTAGGTAACAACACATCTG